TTGCTGGATGCCGAGCTGTCGCATCACCCTTGGCCGCTGGTGACTCAGTGTTTGGACGGCTCATCCGCCCCGGCGGGCGCTTCCGAAAGCGTTCCTGCCGCAGCATCATCATCGCTGGGTGTTTTTCTTCTGTATTAAAGAACATGCGTGTGGCTGGTTTAATCGGAGGCTTATTCAACACCGTGCCTCCCCTGGATAAAACACCAAATATCTGAGTTCACCTTTGGCCCTGGGAGATCGAAGCTGTGGTGTTGCGTTTTCCCGGAGGCGTTTAATAACTCAGCGACAAACGCTTGGCAGGTTTTGTGAAACGAGGTTGTGCAGAGATGGAACCTCTTACAGCTGATCCTGCGGCTGTTAAACGTCATCCGAGTCCTGCTGGGTCTTAACCCAAAGAGTTAAATGCTTGAGCCAGGGAGTGCGGTGGGCAGCGAGCGCCCGCTGCGTGTCCGGACACACCACGTCGCTGCAGCGAGGGTGCTGCTGTGGTCCCTGCGATGAGAACCCAGCACACGACGCACCCGCCAGCAATAGCTCCGGGGAGGGAAGTGGCACCGTTCCGCCAGACCATTAATACACCGGGTGTCCAGGCTGCAATTCCCTGGGGGTCTGTAGGGGAAATGTTGGGATAAACCAGCAGCAAAGCTGCAAAAAAACTTCAGAGAGCTGCAGATGTTACATGCCAGCCCTCCCTGTGCTGAATTGTTTTGTTCTGTTGGGGGATTTTGAAGCGTGGAACTGCAGCCGGGGTTCGGCGTTACGGATGCATCGAGCATCCAGGCTGTGAACCGCGGGGATTCGTGTCCTGACTTTCTGCTCTCTCCCCTCTTAGGCTGGCGCAGTCGAGAACAAACCCGCAGGTCCTGGACACGGGACTGACGGCTCAGGACATCCAGAGCGCGGAGACGTTCTCGCCTGCAGACTGGAACCAAACGGATTCCAACGCAGGCGAGAAGGACGATCTGTTCATGTTTTGAGGTCAAACGCATCTAAGAGCTGACAAGAGCATAACCACTAGACCCCAGGGACTGACTCACGCTGTGCCGGGTGCTGTACGCCGGGGACGCTCCCCAGGGCTCCTCACCGGGTCAGGGGATGTACAGCACAGTTTAGACCAAAGCTTTAGAAACCTAATGCAGATTTGTGTATCTTGCTTTTATCTAAACCACGAGATGCTCTCGAGCGTATTTATTCATCGCTGTTACGGTGTCTGTGTATCGTTGGAAGGTGTGCGGAGCATCCGCAGTATTCGGTGGCAATATCCCGTGGCAGAACCTTCAGCGGTGCCTCTTCCTCTCTGAACACAGCCTATGCAACACCAAAGTCTCTTTGTATATACTTTTCCAGACAAAGGTCTGCAGATGCGAGTGCAACTGCCAGCACAACTGTTACTAATCCAGTTTCTCAAACAACGCATCACCTGCCCGGGCGGCGGGGAGGAGATCTGCAGCAGCTGCTCCCAGGGTTCAGCTCCAAGAGGCGGCAGAGATCTTGCTCTTGGTGTGAATGTCGGCGATCCTCCCGCAGTTGTCAATCACCCCCCCGCGTTCGGGCGGCTCCTTTGCCGGCTCCACATGGGGATTGACACTTTTTTAACCCAAAGACTCTACGAAGCTTTGCACTTTAAAACTTGAACTGAAAGCAATGGTCCGAATTGTCAAGGTAAGCAGTGCCTCTAACTTCTCTTCAGTAGCTATTTACCCAAAAAAAAAAAAAAAACGACCAACCAAACTAACACCACGATGCTGCAGCTCTGATGACTCGCGCGCACCGTTTCTGCTGCGACTCGGAATCCCAAAGCTCCGTTGCACTTGGCTTTTAAAGCAAACCCACCGGGGAGCGACAGTCGGTTCTGCTGGAGCACGTTGGAAGCTGCAGGTCGGGTGAACCCCCAGCACAACAGATCCGCGTCCACAGCGCTGCTGGGTGGGTTTGGCCGCGCGTGCCTTCTTCCCACCTCGGAACCGTTCAGTTCTTGCTCGCTCGATGGACGGAGGTGGGGTTGGATTAGGCGAGAGCGATACCTGGATGTCCCATTAGCGGGAGGTTCCAGCAGAATCCGAGCCTCGTCCCCTGACAGCCGCGGCTCCCGCGAGGCTCAAGGAGCTGTCTTCATCTGCTCCTGGAACTGAAGATAAGTAATGGGGGTATGAAGCTTATGCTAATTAAAAGATTAAGTTTAATGATCCTAAATAGTCACACTGACAGTTTGCAGTGTTTGTGGCCTTACATGAAGTGTACTAATCTGTTTTATAGATTTGTAACTTGGTTTTGAAACACTAATTCATTCCCCGGATAGCTCTTTATAACTCTCTTAAAACTGATTGCAGGGGAAAAAAAAAAAAGAAAAGAAAAACCTCTGTGTCAGCTGCAAGAATTTATTAGGAAACAGCTGAGTGACTCTGACTTAGATGTTATTTTTTTTCCCTAAGTGTTGTTGTGATAAGGTATCGAGGGCCTGTGAAGCTGACTCATGTCTTTTAATAAAACGTGTGCTCTGTTTATCCTGCAAAATTGCGGTTAAAGCGATTTTACACCTTGAAACTACTGTGCCCGTGACTGACTTGATCTCACGTGTAGCATCAGTCTCTCGCGACTGGAGGAATTATTCCCAGTGTGTCCGTGCTCCAGAGACATGAACCCATTGCGCGAGCGGTGCCAAAGCCGCGCAGAACGGTTGTGGCAGCGCCTCGTCCCGACCCCGAGGGCTGGCGAGCTCCCTAGGAAAGAGCTGGGGCTGCAGGAATGGGCCGTGAGGATTTCTCCGTACATCGATCTTTCTCCTTTTTTAGAGACCCTAGAGCATATACTGAAATGCACAACACTATGTATGTATATATATATAGTTTTTTAAGAAAACCTTATGCTGTAAAAAATATCCGTACTGAGGAAAAATAAAAGTTCTGCCATTTTTTTGGAGTGTCTGTGCTGGGTGATTTTATTTTTCCCGTCGTCCTTTTAATGTGTAGGAGCCTTTGCTTTTCTAACTGGTTGAATTCTCCCTCGATGCAGATCAGTACGTGATCGCGAACATCCCCGGGGAGGTTTCTGTCCAGCCAGAGGCTGTTTCCAGGGACATCCAGGTGGGAAGGCGGCT